TTAACCTGCATTTTTTTGGGGGGGGGGGTATTCGCTCGCGCGCACTAGTTTGGGGGTCTTCAGAGGATGTCATCCATAGAATAAAGTCAGTATTGCCATATCACCAAATGAACAAGTCTGAGACGTTTTGTCTGACGTGTTAATGTCAATTTTCTGTTTCTGGTTCCAGAATGCCAGAAGAGGAGACACCAGTCCCGCAGAATCAGCCAGCGAGAACGTTAACAGGCCTACTGATGAGAGGACGTCCCTTCTACGCACATGATGTTCAAACAGTCTGCCTTCAAGATCGGGGTATTTTAGGAAAATGTAGCCTCCAACAGGCCTTTCTAAAGGATAGTTGAATCTAGAGAAAATACAGTGAATAAGTGAACGGGCCTACTGATGAGAGAACGTCCCTTCTACGCACATGATGGACATAATCTCCAAGCAGATCCCTATAGGTGGCAAAAAGACAGTATCAAATTGGCCAGGCAGTATCCATTAGCCAGAGAAGGTCGCCGGCCACCAGCCACCGGGTGGAGGTAGCGAAAAAAAAAACGGCCATATATAAAAACCTCTGCTTGTAGAGTAGATGTACAATCATTTCTGCCGTCAAGGCTTCATGAGGGCACATTATGTAGTCTCCACCGGGCCTTCTTAGTAGGTTCTGGATAATTGATTGCCAAAAAGCAGTTTCCTCAAGCAACTGGATATGATTTTGGAAACGGTCAGACGTTTTAGGTACGTATCTACTAGCTTTCGCCAGTGACTGAGAGACCAGAGGAGAAATGCAGGTTTATAACTATAAGCACAAACTATTGATTGATATGAAAATAAGTGAAGACTATTTTTGGAAGTCCAAAAAGACAAGATGATGCACAAGATGGATAATTGAATTTGCAAAAATACAGTGAAAAACTGGCCATGGCAAATCAGCATTGTGATGATCAAACTCCCCCGGACATATACCTCATTGCGCGTTGGTGGTATGGAGACTGATACAAAGCCGCACGTACGATTTGTGGAATCATTGAAGCTCAGGAACATTGACCAAAGTGATTGGTTATCTACATGGTGCCATTACCGTGTCTCTTAATGACCACATGAAAATCTTGAAGTGTATTTTATACGTCGGAATATAGATATTTTCTCTAATAATATCAAACACTATTGTTATGCAGTTGAGATACAAGCTACAAGCATTTGTACGTTGTAATTATAATATAATCTTCCTTGGTCCACTGATTGTAGATTTTACAAGTTTAAAGTTAAAACTTTTGGTCCAACACAAACGTTCTCTCACCTAGAGCTTTCGACTGAGTCAGTCTACTGAGGAAGACCAGAGTGACTGGTCGAAAGCTCTAGGTGAGAGAACTTTTTGTGTTGGATCTAAAGTTTTGACGGAAAGTCTTTTTCCCATCAGATGAAAAGAACACGATTACACAATGTGAACAATGCCAGTTTCAACTTTACTGCGTCAACAGACATGAATGTGTACATAGCTCATAATTCTGTTACACTACTTTGGCTACATGTAGCAATCGCTTCTTCAAAATTGCACACTTTTGTTACAGCTGCGCGGGTGTAGCAGTTGGCAGGGTCCTGCACTCGCGCAAATCACCGGGTATATAATAATATATAGTCCATGGGCCAGACCAGATTTTATATAGCCTGGTATCCAGTCTTATATCGTGGTTGGGGCGGGTTTTCCTCGGGGCTGCAGGAGCTCTTCCCTGCCCGCCTCAGCTAGGTTTCCCGGTAGGTACTAGCTAGTATTTTACGATGGGAGGTTGACTAGCCCTGTGGTTGGGCAAATCAGCTCCCCGGCGTGCCATCTCTATTAGCCTAACACTCCTACCGGGCGGCCTGTTGGTACTGGGCGGGGGGAAACTATTACAGCCCCGAAGACACAGCCTGCCCCAACTAATGACCCAACCACGAGAAGACTTGATACCAGGCAGGCTAGGTAAACATACGGATGCAAATGACATCTTAATCACGCTTTTTGACACATCAACGTCAATTAGAATACAATAAATATACTTTGGTAATAGAATGTGTAAAAATTGTGAAAACTTGGGATTCTAGTTTATCTACCATCAACGTGTGTAACAACAGACGTACGTGGATATTCATGAAAAAAGAGGAAAAAAGATTTTGATCAAGAAATGCTGCTTTGTCTATTTCCTTCTAGATATTTGTTTCAAATAATCAGACCCCACTGACCCAAAACCCTCTATCTCATTTTCATTTCAAACGTTTGCCCCTACTTCTTAAAAATTCAAACTCTCTCCAAAATTCCAAAACCATTCAGTTTTTATCCAAAACATTCATCTCCCATATTTTCTCATTTCCTCTCTAAGTCACAGGTTCGATGGCATAAGTCAGAAACCTAGTCTGTACACTGCTATAAACGCTTAGGGGTGCCAGAGTATACAGTGCAATTTTACGGAATACAGTGCAATTTTACAGAATACAGTGCAATTTTACGCAATACAGTGCACTTTTACGCAAAACAGTGCAATTTTACAATACGATTGCACTGTATTCCGTAAAATTGCACTGTATACTAGTAAAATTGCACTGTATTCCGTAAAATTGCACTGTATACTCTGGCACCCCTGACACCACTACTACTACCCATCGCTCTCCATCGTTAAAAATCGTCTTCAATGTCTTCTGACCTCTCTCTAAAAACGTCATCAAAGGCACCATAAAAATTCACACTTCTTCATCTACACACAATTCACTGTGGCCGGTATAAATGATACTTGATCTGCTTTAATATGGAGCTACATTGTATAACAGAGATGAGTTAATCTCCAAGCAGATCCTAGGGTGAAAAAATACTAGCCTCTACCAGGCCTTTCTACGGGAATACGGATCGTAGAATTCGGCCAAAAAAAGAGAGTAAAATTGGCCAAGGGAGTCCGGCCGCAGGTAGGTACTAGTAGTTTCTTTCCCTCTAGTCAAACCAAGGCGGCCAAACTCCCCTGGCAAATATTCTCCTAAATATAACCAGCGTAGTTAGTCTGGTAGAGACTAGAAAAAGACAGTATCAAATTGGTCAGGCAGTATCGCGGCTAGAGGGTCCATACGCCACCTATTACAGTAAGCAGTGTTTCAGGTTGGCGAATCACAGAATCTCTTCGGCACAACCAAGTTTTGCCTTTATAATGTAGCAGAGCTACCAAAACATTCGTAGACTAGCTTTTGCCAACCCACGTAAAGACACATCACTTTCCAAGTAAGGGAAAAAGTCAAGGCTGCAAAATTTTTCAAAAAGCTTTGAAGGAAGACATCGCTTTGCATAGCCTATTTATATTTCTTATTAATTATAACTACAACAATTAATTGCAAATTAAACAAGCCACAAGCTTCAAAACTGGATTTATACTTTTCTTCCAAATTGATATTTGAGTGCAAACCAAAAATCTTTGCATTCACTGGGGCTATATCTGCAAGAAATCTTTACAAATGAACTGCTACATTTTATATTTTAAAAGATCCATTCTGTATATTGAAATCCGTTATACCAGTGAGGCAAAGACTTTGACTGAAACAGTCGTGGCATTTTTCTTTCCCTATAACACCCCTCTCCCATCAAATCTAGTCATTGACTAGCTTTGAATGTCAAACTCCAACACCTAGCACCGTTAAATCTTCATTATCATCAACATCATCTTACTTTCTCATGGCATTGCTCCAATTGCCAGTAACGTTATTGAATAAGAGAAGCCCAGGCAAGTTACGTTTGTTACTGAAACCGGTATGGAAGTATTGTTTTGAGTGGCTTAGTTGTGGGTTTGTGTGTCTGTTTGTCCAGACAGGATAGGTTGTATGAGAGACCCTTCAATACTTCCCAGATGTCTAATATCTCCGATTTCTTCTTGATCAAAGACCTGTAAAACGTCCTTGGTTGATCTAAGTCTTTTCTCATATTCCTTGCCTTTCTTATACTATTAACCATTATTGTTCCCTTGGTGCATAAAGACTGATTGAAGTGAAAAATCAACTTTTTATCAAAGACAGAACGGTGTATAAAAAAAGACAGCTGATTCATCTGCCTTCATCACAATGACTGACCCACATGTGACCCTGGTCACATGACTGGTAATAGGCCACGTGACCCTGGAAGCCTGTAGAAATGTTTGGTAAGAAGTTGGCTGAGGAGAATGAAAATAATTGATATGGCTCGACAATAAAAGTTGCACTGCTCAAAACTCTCCTACGTCGGGGAGGGTACTACTAATAATTAAGGTAAACAAAAACAGCAATCGTATTGAGAAGAGAAGATGCTTAATTGCCAGTCGAATTTGAATTCTTCTTGAAGATTGGTTTGCTGAAGGGTAGCTTCCTGATGTAACCATCTAACATGACTGACCAGTATCATATTACCTGATTGTACACACCCTATTCCCAATGAAACTTGAACTATTGAGAAGATGCCTAATTTGCAAAAAAAAAACAGTTACTCAAGATGCCTAATCGCTATTTGAATTTGAATTCTTTTTGATGGCTTCCTGGTGTAACCAGCCAACATGGCTGACTGGTATCATATTACCTGATTGTACACACCCTATTCCCAATGAAACTTGAACTATTGAGAAGAGAAGATGCCTAATTTCCATTCGAATTTGAATTCTTCTTGATGATTGGTTTGATGACCAGGTAGCTTCCTGGTGAAACCATTCAATATGGCCAACTGGTATTATATTACGCTATTGCGACGAGAAAATGCCTAATTTCCGTTCAAATTTGAATTCTTCTTGATGATTGGTTTGATGATGGGGTAGCTTCCTGGTGTAACCCTCCAACATGGCCGACCGGTATCATATCACATGATAAATTAAAGGAAATAAAGGATTGTAAACACCCTATTGAGACGAGAAAATGCTTAATTTCCGTTCAAATTTGAATTCTTCTTGATGATTGGCTTGGCGACCGGGGAGCTTCCTGGTATAACCCTCCAACATGGCCGACTGGTGTTATATCACCCTATTTGAATTTGAATCCTTCCTGATGATTGGACGCCTAATTTCCGTTCGAATTTGAATTCTTCTTGATGATCGGTTTGATGACGGGGTAGCTCCGCTCGAAGACCTCTGACCCGCGGCTGACCATCCTGATTGGCGGCTGGAAGTTGGGGTCGCTCTCGTCGTCGTAACTCTCGTCCTCGTCGTCGTCCCCGTGCTCGGATGGGAGCGGGGTGGAGGCGCGGGAACTTCCCGGGGACGGGGGTGCGGACGCAGGGCGAGGGTACCGGAATTGCTGTGGAAAAGAAAAATAAAGCCATTCATCTTAAATTAGAAAGGTAACATTTGCAAAGCAATGTTTACCTTCTCAATGGACCTATACCATTATTACGTCACAGTTTGTTTACCTGTTCTAAAGAACATTCTAGAACAGTCAGTTAAAGAATAAAGATCATTTCAAAGTTTTCAAAGTAAGGTATGTCTGATTTTTGCTGCGTCTAGTTGTGTTGACACAGCATTACATGCCGCATGGGTGATTTAGTTGTGACATTAGACGAAAGTAGTACTGTATTAAAAGCCTTATATTAGGCTAACGCTACACAAGCACACACCGCGCTACGCACCCCTGTACAATATAAACGTCGATTGACCGGCATTCATTGCGGTAAACAAACTGTGACGTAATAATGGTATAGGTCCATTGGTCTAGCCTAACACACTACTGCTCTGAATATTGTTACTCAAACATTTTCATATATAATACAATGTATATGTTAGCAGCCACTCCAACTCTGTCCTGGTATATACATGTATATGGTAACCCAACAACACCACAGGGTGTTGCTACAGTCCATGTCATTGACTTTCGAGAAGAAAGAAGAAGAGGAAGAAACTGAGCAAAAGCAACATGTTTTCCTTCTGCGAAGGTAAACATATTAACAACATCAGGGTGTCCATGTCTATCTTAAACTTTTAGACACTAAGTTATGGAATTGCCATCACTGATCATCAGTGACTAATCTAATATCCATTATTTTGTGTTGTTAATAGTTTAAATTTCTTAAAACTTGCTGAATGAGTTTATTTTTGCGACATTCTTGGTGACCTCTTCACCATAGAATTATGACAAGTTACAGTCTTTCCATTGAAAACAGAAAACTGCTGTGAGAGACCTTCCCGTGAGAAGAGAAATACATCGGTGTGAGACCTACCGGAGTCTTGGGACTGTCTGGCCTGATGGCTTCTGGGTATTTCTTGAAGAGAGCCAGTTGGCGAGCCTTCCGGTAGTACTGTCAGGGGAGAAAGGGTAGTAAGGAGTTAGACTTCATCAGCACGTCAGCAGAACGTACTGCACCTGCACTAAACCCGCAATGTTTTGTGCATAGCACTTCAGCAGAACGTCACATACAAGGTCATATAAGGTTAACATCCCATCTGTAGTTTGCAAATGTGATGTAGGAAAAGATATCCTCTGCAACAGGCAAAATTCTGATGCAACGTTGACCAAAAATCCAACGAAAACGCAGGCGCAGTACATTATGCTGACATGATGACTTCATTCAACTAGTCAACACTCTTCCCAAATTTAGTGCTACTTTAATGCCACTTGCAACAAACGAGGTCTGTTTTTGCTAATGTAACAAAAGTTGGTCACTACACATTCTTAAAGTACACAGTTTCATGTATAATTGATAATTTCTTTATTGTAAGTTCGTGCCAATTGCAAGTTCAAGGGCTAACTGCCAACGAACATGGACAGGAACAATGAGTGCAGAGGAGTGGTATGAAACTTTATGCCGCAACATGAAGTTCTACGATCTATAATTAATCTAACTTTCTATCTCTACTTAAAACTAATACTGTAATTCACTCTATGTTTACGGTAGCAAAAGTTCATGGTCTGAGAAAAATGTACATGTTCACGGAACTATATATTCACGGTGGCAACAGAAGCAGGAAAAAGAAAGTCCAGGAATTATTTGTTGAAATGATAAGTTCACAGTACAGAAATGACAGTGAAATCAGTGAACATTACATGTAACAGTACAGTGAAAATAATCAGAAATTACAGTAATGTATGTATACAAGACAAAGAGTGAATCTCTTTAAGAAAAGAAAAGAAATTGTCGTACCAGTCCCAGACTCTTCCAGTCGAGCAGTTCGCTGAGCCGCTCGGTACGGTTCCGCTGGATAATCCGCTGCCGGCGGGACTGCCGCGTGAAGTCAAACATGTGCTGTGGGAAAGGTATTAAACAAATATTGTACTTATATACACAAAATGTAATACTTTATTGTCTTAACACTATATCCTAAACACTTTACATACATAATATACTTAATACATGTAATGTACCCACTCACTCACTCACTATCCAGGATTTGATTATTCTGCTGGAGGTGGGGTCTGCGATGTGTTCATTCATTCATTCATTCATTCATTCATTCATTCATTCATTCATTCATTCATTCATTCATTCATTCATTCATTCATTCATTCATTCATTCATTCATTCATTCATTCATTCATTCATTCATTCATTCATTCAATTCACTCACCCACCCACTCTCATTCATTCATTCATTCATTTTCATTCCTTCCTAGGCTTCCTTCATTCATTCATTCGCCGTCTTACCCCAGCGAGTTGCTGCACAGACTCCTCAGGGTTCCTGAAGCGCCTGTCGACGATATGGATGTAGATGCCATAAGATGTGGGGTCTGCGATGTGCTCTGCCGTTCATTCATTCATTCATTCATTCATTCATTCATCCATCCATCCATCCATCCATCCACACACTCACTCACTCACTCACTCACTCACTCATCTTACCCCAGCGAGTTGCTGTACAGACTCCTCAGGGTTCCTGAAGCGTCTATCGACGATGTAGATGCCGTAAGACGTGGGGTCTGCGATGTGTTCTGCCATGAAGCAGCCGAACCCGGACAGGTTGGAGGTGATGGACGGGATCCCCATCACTGTGCACTCCGCTGGGGGGAGGGGGGCAGAAAACACATTTAAGAAATGCATTACAACCTTTAAGTTAGTTAACTTATATTGTGTGAATCGACAGGATTGAGGCAAATGACAGGCTGCCAATAGATATAATAGCCAATAGAATATCAATAGATATCCTGGACTGTGTCTTGCAGAGATCATCGGTTTTCCTCCATTTTATATCATGTCATGATCATTCTCAGTTACTGATGGAAGATGGTCAATGCTGTCTGAAATGTCTGACTTTTCAGAAAATATAAATCCAGTTGGCTTACCTGGCGTATATCCCCATGGTTCGTAGTAGGAAACGAACACACCCAGATGGCAGCCGCGTACAAACTGCTCGTAGTCCATGGCCAGGAGAGCGCTGGTCGACGAGAGGAACTCGGGATGGAACACGATCTGGGCGGGAAACAATGTCACAAGATGAAAAAACAAAACGAAACAGCACGAAAGTTCAACTTGGTAGTTACATGTTTAAAGTTAAAACTTTTGGTCCAACACAAAAAATTCTCTCACCTAGAGCTTTCGACCAGTCACTCTGGTCTTCCTCAGTAGACTGACCCAGTGAGGCTTGAAGCTTTGACCCAGTGTTGACATCACACTTCAAAGAAGCCACGTGACAAGCTTCACTGGGTCAGTCTACTGAGGAAGACCGGAGCGACTGGTCAAAAGCTGTAGGTGAGAGAATTTTTTGTGTTGGACCAAAAGTTTTAACTTTAAACACAAAATGAAACAGCGTTGCACAATGAAAGGATTACTTAAACCTTCATGGCATTGGGTCACATTTATTTACAGTGTTCTATTATACATTTTGTATATAGATATGAAAAGGTCACCATATTTAAACAGTCATGGCTCAAAAGACTAAAGTGTAGGGTTTAAGAAAGAAATCAAAATAGTTGAAGAGCTAAAATTCTGAGAGGGGAAATTCGCAACAATGTCTCAAGATGAGAGGACGATTACATGTACATCATGGCATTGTAACACTTGAATTATACCATATGAAATGGGAAGGGTTAGATTTTTCTAAATTTCATAGTTGAAAAGCTAAAAAATTCTCCTAACATAATTGAGGTTAAGGTGGTATAGCAGATATAAAGATGTCACGTAAGGAGAATTTGTTACCTTAACCCTGTCTGCCCTGTTGTTGAAGAGCTGTATTCTCCTAACGTGATTGAGAATGGGATATAAAGAGGATGTAGGGAGAATTTGTTACCTTAACCCTGTCAGCCCTGTTGTTGAAGAGCTGTATTCTCCTAACGTGGTTGAGAATGGGATCGCTGGCATCGTCTGTCATGTTGTGGGTGCAGATAGGAGGGAGGTTCGGACGCTGCAGATGGAAAAAGAAAAATTATTATACATTCGAAATACAAATATATGTTGTATTATAACAATATAGTCATCTACTATGGAATATACTATGTATGTAATGTTATCATGAAAGTTCATCTGTGTTGGTAGTTACATGTTTAAAGTTAAAACTTTAGATCCAACACAAAATGTTCTCTCACTTAGAGCTTTCAACCAGTCACTCTGGTCTTCCTCAGTAGACTGACCCAGTGCTTTGTTGTCTTTGTATCATACTTTTTCGTTCCGTAAGACTGCCTGGTTGGGTCCCGGTTTGGGAATGTGACCTCAGCATAACCAAAGATACATTGTAGGTTCACATTTTCACTGGAGTCTAAATCCTAGAACCAGCCCACAATTACTGCAGAATCCACTCTTTTCTGTTTTGTTCTGTTTTGCATGTGATGTGGAGTACTTCCCCACCTGTGCAGCAAAAATGCACCTCTTCAGTTTGATGAGATCCTCCGACTGCAACAAATCTTCAGACTTGGGGATGCTGCCGCTGCAAGGAAAACAACAACAAAGCTCAAACAAACAAACAAATGGTAACCAAGCCAAAATTTTGAAGATTGTTATACAAGTGTTGTTTTAATTCGTGAAGGTTAGACATCCAGGTAATAAGATACGCCAAAAACCAGTTACTCAAGCAACTGGATATGATTTTGGAAACAGTCAGATGTTTCAGGTAGCATCCACTACATTTCGTCAGATAGTAGTCAGAAAAGCAGGTTTATAAAAATGAACTATTGATTGATTTGGAAAGTCAAGACAAGGATGATGCAAAAAGTGTTGTTTTCTGTTCCATGCCATGCAATAAGGACATTCGTGTTCATGATAATACAAAGTGTTCACCCTGATGCCTACATGTATGTCATGTAATACTTACTTACCCAAGGCATGATTCAAAAATCCTCTTCCCAATATCGTTCTGCACCTCCTGTACCGTCTCTCTGTGGGGAAAATCACACTTCAGATGAAAATTCATACATTTATTAGAAATAGTGTCAGTCATGGACTATCTAACCCTTTGGACTGCCAAGTTGAACTTGACTGACGATTACAAAGTCACCCCTTCCTGGCTCTCTACTGCATTCTAATACTTGGTTTTTAGCACCAAGGACAGCACCAAGGACAAATCTGTATCTGTATCTGTATAGCCGGTATAACCGCCTGCCAGCGTAACACACCAGTTTTGCAGGCACGCGGCGCGGCGGCAGCTGGCTACATTACACCGATCGACTTGTTACATCTAACCCTTGATCATCTAAATAGCATGTTGTACAGGCAAACAAAAAGCTATCAATAAACAGGAAAACCCACCTGAGTTGCTTGACGACAGCCTGGCCCTTGAGAGAGTCGACGTTGAAGTTGTTAGTTTTGGCGGGGAAGATCATGAAGGCGACAACCGTCATCTCACTGCCGGAGGACTGCAGGGCAAGGGTCAGGGGTCAGAGGCAGGGGCAAAGGTCAGGGTCAGAGGAAGGGGCAAAGGTCAGGGTCAGAGGGTTGAACTATGATCCAGCGTGCTAACTACACATGACCTCAGGACAGCTCTAAGGACTATAAACTTTAAGGCAAACAAAGTATGGCCTGAATTTGCAATAATTATTATAATTTAAATTTAATCATAGCAGTCGTGTGGTACTCAGAGTATGCCAGGGTTCTCACCACGATTTTTTCACAGCATAGGGGTCAGGTACAGAAGTGTAATAACTATCAGGGCTCAAGTTGTGCATTGAAACACCAATATGCTGGTTGAAATACAGCATAGGGGTCCATATCACAGCATACGGGGTCCAAATTACAGCATAGGGGGCCCTATGCTCAAAGGTCTCCCAAGAACACTGTATGCACAAGAATCTCTCACATCAAGCTAGTTTTCTTTAGGTAATTCAGACGTACATGTACCCTGTACTTCTACCAGGTTGATTTCATAAAATAGAAATTAATAACCTGTAATTAATTAATTAATAATCTACAACAAAATGATACAAAGTGTGATTCTAGAGATCCATGTTTGATGCTGCAAAGTACAAATGCCCAAACGTTGACCTTGAGAATAGTACATGTAGTAGAGTCTGACCTTGAGATAGTAGTTGAGTCTTGCGAGTGCCTCCAGGAACATGTCCACTCCTTTGTTAGAGAACTCGTACCGGCCGGCCGTGAACATGAATATCGTCTTGTCAATGTCAAAGTCGTAGTGCCTGGGAAAAGGTGCAGACACGATTAAGGTTCTCACGAAGTCTGCTGAAAATTTGTCTCAAATTATAAAATATGATTTAGAAACCTGCCTAGAGGTTGGCACCCCTAGCTGTAATGTACCATCAACATCATCATTTATTTGCATTACGTAATAAAAACAAAACAAAACATAAAACATTTAATGTTGTAATGTTATATATACCAGTCCAAAGCACAATAATGTAAAGGTAAATAAGTAGGGATGAGGTCTCATGAACATAATGGTAAGCATCACCATTAAATGTTTTCCAAATAGTGGTGACTACCGGTAGTCTACATCCAAGCAACCTTGCTATACTAGCCCCCCACCCCATTCTCTTGCAAACCTATGACGAGTGAAAATGATAGTGATCTCAAACCAGTTTAGCTCACTGAAGAGCTAATCTTCCACTGGTCGTGACAGAGAAGACAGACGCTATGTACTGTATTTACAGGTTCATTGTACCGGGGAAATTCCCCTAGATCTTTTCGACGAGCACAATGAACAGCAGACCACGGCTTAACGTCCCGTCCTAAGGACTGCGACCCTTTTCAGTAGCGTGTATGTCATGTGAGCGACGACAGTGGAGATCGAACCCCCAACCTCTCGGTCCAGAGGCAGGATACGCTAACCACTGGACTACGCACGCTACCAGTGAGTACAAATGACCTTGGTGTGCTCACCCGTAGAAGTGTCCTCGTACGAACTCGCTGATCTTCTCCTTGGCGATGGCGTGGAGGTTCTGGAACTCGTGGATCGCCTGGAACTTCTGCACGTTCAACCCGTTTGGAGTCACGATGTCTGAAACAGTGAAAACGTCACAATGAGGTGTGATGTAACAGCTCGACTCGTGCCCATGGAAAAGGCACTTTACACGACTTTCCTCACTTACACGTAACTCGAGTGCAAATGAGTATTGTCTTGTCCTGTCCTGTATTTGTTTTTATGTGTGGGACGCAACACCAGCAACAGCTGCCTCTGTCCCACAGGCAAATCAAATCAAAACGTCACTGATTTTTCTACCTCCATGAAAAATGGAGGTATTGTTTTTGGTGTGTGTGTGCGTGTGTGTGTGTGTGTCTTTGCTTATACATGACAGTGTCCAATGCTAGTGACCACCTTGCCATTGTAGCCACATTTTCCTATTAACTCGAGCATTCAAAAATTTGACTATATTGACCATCAGTGCACTGTGGCCATTTTGCTAATATGTTCCAAAGTGAGTGGTCACACAAATTTATGCAAAATAATACAAAAAAGAGAGAAAAAAAAGAAAAGTACCTGGCTTCCTTTTGAGTAGATGTTCTGCCTCGAGCGCAGTGATGTCGGACACGGTGGCAAACACGTGGCAGCAGTGTGCGGCCGCCCGCTCCATGCAGTACCGATGGTAGATCCCACGATTTCCAGCCTCTGTGTCCAGGTCAAACTGTAGGGGAAAATATATATACATTATACATGCAGTTTGCACCAAAACTGCTAGGTGGCAGCAGTGTGCGGCCGCCCGCTCCATACAGTACCGATGGTAGATCCCGCGATTTCCAGCCTCTGTGTCCAGGTCAAACTGTAGGGAAATATGTATATATTATACATGCAGTTTGCACCAAAACTGCTAGGTGGCAACAGTGTGCTGCCGCTTGCTCCATGCAGTACCGATGGTAGATCCCACAGTTTCCTGCCTCTGTGTCCAGGTCAAACTACAGATGGGACACGCGTACATGCGTCAGTGAAGGTTAGACATCCAGGTAATACTACTGGTAATTAGATATGCCAAAAAACAGTTACTGTGACTCAAGAAATGGGATATGATTTTAGAAACGGTCAGGCGTTTTAGGTAGCATCCACTACCTTTTGTCAGTGACACTGGAGACTTGTCAGAAAGGCAGGCTAATTTGCATCATCCTTGTCTTGTCTTGTCTAACTTTTGTTTCCTTTTGAACTTCCAAAAAAATGTGTGTCTTGAAGTTCACTCATTTGCATATCAATCAATAGTTCTTGCTTAAAAAACAGTCTTTCTGACAAGTCTCCAGTGCCACTGACGAAAGGTAGTGTTTGTTTGTTTGTGTTTCCCTGTGACCCACCTTGTCGAGGTTGTTGTAGAAGTCGACGTTCCCCGCGCAGAGGAACCGGCCGAGCAGCGTGGCGTGCGTCGTGAAGATGGTGGACACGTCGATGTTACGGCAGCGGCACAGGACCAGCCCCACGCTCGCCATCCACTCATGGAAGTGCGCCACCAGGTACTGCTTACCTTCACACTGCTCACACTGGGCTCGGAACTGGGGAGGAAATTCATATGTAAGGGAGGACTTCCACCACTTGAACTTAGACAACATCAACCCACAGGACAGACGCAAGTGGCGGGCTGCCATCAAGCCCCAGTATCACAGTGCAAGCACATCTAACCCTCAGAAGACTGGGAACAACAGACGATAAACCAGACAGTGAGTGAGTGAGTGATGGTGACCAGCCCCTCCAACTCTGTCCTGCTACTTGCTACATAACGTAATCCAATGCACCACCAGAAATAGATTTAAGTAGAGATAGACTGGGTTAAATTACACGTAGAACTTCATGTTAGCATATAGTTTTATATCACCACATTTTTCTTGTCAATGTCTGTTTGCAATTAGCCCTCGGGCAAGAACTTGCAATAAGCAACTCATAACCAGAAATGATCCCAACTGACCTCGCCGAGGAACCAGGCCACGAGAAACCCCAGCAGCACGGCGTCGTTGCACTCCCGGTCCGGCCACGGGATCCCGATCCCCGCTACCTCCCAGAATTCCTTTCTCCACTCGTCCAGCTTCCACGACACCGAGCCAACGTCAAACAGCACCACCTGCACACAAGGTCAAGGTCAAACACACTATCTGCACACAAGGTCAAGGTCAAACTGCCAGCTGTACACAAGGTCAAGGTCAAACAATGCAAACCTGCATACAAGGTCAAACAACACAAGGTTATACTACACAAACTGCGCACAAGGTCAAGGTCAAACAACAAAACTAGAACACAAGGTCAAGGTCAAACAATGCCACCTGCACACAAGCTCAAAAACATATCCTGCACACAAGGTCAAGGTCAAACCGAAACATAAGGTCGAACAACACAACCAAACCACAAGATCAAGGTCAAACAACACAACCGGCACACAAGGTCAAGGTCAAACAATGCAAAATTGCGCAACAAGGTTGTGGTTATTGTGAGTGAGTCAAACTGTTAACGGTGGTAACTAACAGTAACAGTTACTTCTGCTTCATTGTTAAACTGTTGAAGTTGACCAATCCAAAGCAAGTACTACGTAACCTTTTCTATGGATAGTTACATTGTATACAAGTAGTGATGCATACCGGTTCACTGGACTTGGATCCGGACTTGTAAGAATGTTAAGGTTCAAGTCCAAAAAAAACTAAAAGTCAAGAACCGAGTCCGGACTTATTACCATAAAAGACCATTTCACATACTCCTTTTCTTTCCAAACCACCTAAAACCTTCCGTAGATTGCAAAATCTTTGCTGCAAAATGAAGAAAACATTGCCATCAGGCATCGTCAAGTACCGGCCTCCATGTTATGTGGCCAAAGTTTCACCCAGACAACATTGCAAGGTTGCCAACATGCAATTTTGTATATGCCTTGGGTTTAGGTCCGGACTTACAAGTCCGGACCTGAACCTAAACCTCTGGACTTGAATCCGGACCTGAACCTAAAATTTGGTTTAGGTATGCATCACTATATACAAGTATACTTAGTAAGTTAACCCAATCAGTGGATTATGAAAAAACATGAAAGAAACACAGTGGTGACATTGCTGAAGAATGGATTTCTTTAAAGGTTAATTTTAAAAGTTCCATTTTCTAACACCCCCTGATTTTCTCACACACCCCTAATGATCTCTGAATGGTATGTTCCGTGCATAAGTGCAGGTACCACCATGCAGCATGCTAACCGGACTGTACCACTCACCCGTGGGTAGGCGTTGATGAGCCAGCGTCCGTATTCGACCTGTGGATATAAGTGTTGGTGGTTAGAGACAGAGGTGTACTCACCCTGGGATAGCCGTCTATCAACCAGCGCCCAAACACTACCTGCAGAACAGTCGCCATGCAACATGGGAGGGTGGAATGAGCTTCGTCTTTTAAATTTTTTATTTTTTATTTTTTAACAGCAATTTGATATTAAATAAATGTGAGACTAGCCTCCTTGGCAGGCTTTATGGGATCAGCGCTTATTTTCTGATCAAACGTAGATCGCACGTATTCAAGCTCCGGCCCTAAGCCTAGTATGGCATTCCTAGTATGTTCCAGGAATGGCATACTAGGGTTGCCTTGGCAGCCAAAATTTTTCATGCGTGTGATCTACGTTTGATCAGAAAATAAGAACCCCCCCTCAAAAAAAGACTGATCCTGGACAAGGAGGCTAATGTGGGACCATCACAGAAATTACACAAGTTTTCTTAAGTTAGCAACTGAGAAATTTGTGTGTGAAAATTGTCTGATTCCCAAAAGGATTAATGAATTTTTGAATTTTGATTCTATTTTCATGAAGATGACAAATTAAGGTATGACATTACCTTTATTAATATAATTTGCCATGTAAGTCAAGTTATTTGCCTTGGGCACAGGATTCAAGCACCAGTAAGACCATAATAATTTAATTTGTTGCTTCTTTGATTTTTTAAGAAGAAATATAAAGTGACAAGGTGACAAGAAAAAACAAATCCAAGCATCCTATGATTATGTATTTATTACATGCAGGCCCAAATGCTATAATGATAGGAACCATACAGGACTGGCTAATTTACACAATTAATTTCAAGCCTTTAATTAAACCACTACACTGATAGATGGAAAAACTGTAAAAAAAGTTAGGATTAGTCAAGGACTTTCTTCAACTGTTGAAGCCAAAATAAGAGCATCTTTTGGTCAATTCATAATTTGAAATCTGTTTTTTTTTTCAAATCCAAGAACCAACTAATTAAATTTGTGTGGCATGGCCTATATATGGATTGAAGCAAAATTTACATCAGCAAAAAAATCAGCAATGATGATGATGACCTTGACCCCCTACTGACCTTGACCCCTTTGCCCCGCATGTTCTCCAGGGTCCTGCGCATGATCTCATTGGTCGGTTCCATGGGGTCGACCTCCAGGCGCGCCGAGTTCTCGTTGTACGGACCAATCAGGCAGTAGTGGTCTCCGAGCTCGTCAACCGTCACACCGGCCTTACTGCGGATCACCGTGTAGATCCCACCAACTGGGGGGGGGGGGGAAAGTTTATAATTGCTGTAAACTTTTGATGAGAATGTCAAAATTTTGTAACTCTGCAATTCAAGAAAACACTTCATCATTAAATACAGTCACTTAGATTTAAAGACAAAAGTCTGGATCTAAACGTTAAACCCATTGCATATCATTATTATACAAAATTGCATGCAATTTGAAAAATACATGCAAAAATACTTGAAAGTATATAATAGAGTCACTTTTAAATAAACTGCAACGCCTGGGTTAATAGATGTTGTTTGCGCATGCACATGGTTTAACACGTTCCTCTATAAGGAGCACCTTTTAAAGTTGTCTCCAAGTTACTCCTTACCTATGCATGCCCAAACAGGTTTGTTTGTTTACATTATACACAATGGGGGGGGGGGGTATAAGAATGCAGTCACTTCCACTGCACTTCCTAGCACTTTCTCAAGGTCATGTTGACCTTCACACACGTTTATGAAGGTCATTCTGAACACAGCTGGTGATTCTATGAAAATTCCACCAATTCTGAAGCTGTTTCTATGATGCAACTGGTGGCAACCTTTTGGGGTGACCTCTGCTTGACCTTTCCAGCTGAGATAGGCTGAACACACATTACATGGTCACCAATGCAGTTTTACTTCTAATCTTAAGTTAATGTTCCTTGTAAATGTCTATTATCTTTTAGTATAAGCAAAAGTGTTTGAAATAATGTTTCAACCCTTTTTCTGTGCTCTACATTTAGGAGCTACGTAGGTTTTATGCTGTAGCTAGAGTTTAACCTAGATAACTAAGTTTGTTTACGTACAGTTCGTAGTTAAATAGGCTAGATACAGCCTTAAATCTAACACTAAATTCAGCAAAAAAAGTTACTGATTTCGGAGCAAAAACGCAGAGAAAATACAGTGATTTCTCCTTGTGTTCTTGGTGTTGTCTGGCAGGAATCTGGAGTCAAACCTTGGAGCGAAAACCAGACGTTGTTTTGAAGGTCACAGAAAGGGGCGTATCCGTGTGGATTTAAAATACACACGCTTTAAACACTTAACTATTGGCAGATCGATCACACCAGAGCAAACCGTTTCGCGTCTTGTTTTGGAGCAATTTTGCAATCGGAGTTTCGTTACTAGACTGTCACCAGAATGTATATGTTGTCATCTGTGCACAAAACTGAATTCAGATATAATTTTTATCAATTTACATGGGTGTTTAAAGAAAAAAGGACTAAAATTTTATAGCACCTGAGACAACTTTATAAAAAAAGTGATCGCGGGAGCTTTATAAATCGTTCAAATGATAGTATATTTAGGATAAAATCTTACAGAAGTTGGCATTTTATTCCTACGTAATCCACGTGAGATGCATGGTGCATACATGTCGCCATAAGCGTCGGACGCACACCACATATTCGGCAACAGCCGAAGTACGTGGGGAGGGGGGCGTGTTCTTATTAGCCTTCGTAGCAGGCTTATAGAACTGGGGGTTTGGTGGTCTTCGGCTGTTTTCTGATTAGCCCAGTTCTAAAAAACGGGGGTAATTCAACCAGGCCAGTCTATATAGTATATGCAATCAGAAAATAGCACATAAAAGCTCCCAAAGACCCCGAAGTCCCCAAAACCCCCAGTTTTGGCATGCTATGCTAGCGTGTTCTCAACTCACCTTTATTTGCGACCTCGTAGGAGATTTCGAACACCCACTTATTCTGGGTCCCCATGGGTCCATTGTCGTCGTAGTCAGCGTAGTCACCATCCATCTTTAACTTTAAGGAGCTTCGCCAAGTCCTTAGGACTTTAGTAAGACACGCTAAACGTTGTTGGTCACCGGTGCACACTTAGTAGTACTGGGCGGCGAAAATCCGTTTCGGTAACGCTTGTACGGTTTTTCACTCACACCGATGCTCGAATGTCTTCCACAAGACTTTAAGAAAGCAGCACGGGCGGGTAAGAAGTTGCGGAAAATGTCTTGAAGCAAGCGGCAAGCTCAGGAAGGCCACAGTTCCTCTTCAAGACCCGTCCGAACTCCAGTCACCCCCGGCGAAACACGATCCAAATGTAGGACATGTCATATGGCCAGCGGGTCATACCATGTCAAGTTACATAAAATATAAACAACATTTTCTCTACGAAGCTATCACGATAACTTAAAGCTAATCAAAGAAAAATTGTTACGTTTTTACCAAGATGGCAAAAATTGAAAAGTATAAGAATTGGTTGATTAAAAGGAGAAGTAAAATTATTTTGCTAACCCCCTATAAATGCTAGTAGTCCGTTCCGTTCAACTCTGACCTTGTGCTCTGACGTCACTAGCGCAGACGTGACCGCAAACACGCAAAGACACCACGTGACGCCGGTCTTGTAGGTAAAATACATTTAAATAGCAGAAAAGAATATATCATAATATTTCTCAGTGAAATATATTGTAGCCTGAGACGTTCAGCAAATGAGCGGTGTTCCTCGTTTTGGTGGGAAAGTTTTTGTCACCTCAGTTCTACTACCTCACAGTATTGGAACTCTTGTTGGTTCGTTGATTATCTAACGTTAGAACATTGTTCAGGCAATTATGACTTGGAAAAGTTTTATAACATTTTCGTGATTTTGCATACTTTTGACACTTCACTGTTCTGGCCAAGGCCATGGTGATTTGATTTTATGGATGACATCCTCTGGGAACCCCAAAACTGATGCGAGCGTGCGAATAAAAAAGGTTTGGCAAAAAAAATTGCTTTCATTATGAAATCTACGTGGTCAAGAAGGTTGAACAAATTAAGAGTACGGTTTTCGTTTGATTTTGGCATTCTACGACAAGTTATCGTTTCCCAATATATTTTTTCCAACTTACGGTATATATATTTGCTCATTTTGCAACTGTTTTGTACAATTTACAGTATGGTTGAAAACTTTTTTTGAACGACACCCTGGTAGGGGCCCGCAAGCCCTTTTCCGTAGAGCGTAATCGGCCGTTTTAATTCTACGTAGAGCGTAGACGGACCGCTCTTCGCATTTTGCGTAACTCTTTTTTTTTTCTGGAAACTTTGCCGAAAATTCATGCGCACGTGGATGTCATCCATATAATCAAATCAACATGGCCTATTAACATCTTGACAGTATTGGACCTCTAGCGACCCTACTTCGAGTTGAAATACAGCAGAATATTTAAAAAAAAGATTTGGATTGCATTTTGTCATCATATTTTCGTAGCATGGAGGTAGCCTGGTACAGTGGTAGCTAGCAACATTATAGAGCAGGCGAATACTGCCGGGGATGGCACCCAGGCTAGCATGGAGGTAGGCTGAATTGGAAAGTAAAATGATGGAATTTGCTCTTTGCGACCACTGAAAGATCTGCTTGGAGATTAGGCATGGTCGTCCCCGCTTGGTCACAGTTCTTCCTGAGTACGTACACAAAGAGGTCATGACCTCCTTGTTGTGAGCTCGTTCCAATGAAAGGAACGGGGATATATTAAACTGTGCCCCTCTGCGGTGATTGTTGTGTGACATGAACGACACCCTGGTAGGGGCCCGCAAGCCCTTTTCCGTAGAGCGTAATCGGCCGTTTTAATTCTACGTAGAGCGTAGACGGACCGCTCTTCGCATTTTGCGTAGAGCGTATTCGCCGTTTTAATTCTACGTAATGCGTTGTAGCCACTTGGAATTTAACGTAAAGCGTAATCGAGAGTAGAGCGTTGTCGGGACCCCCCCCCCCCTTGCAGGTCCCCCCCTGGTGTTTACCTCTGTCAGTGTGTGCTTCATACACTGTTCTGACAACTCTCCGGTGTCACTGACGAAAGCTAGTGGATGCTACCTGAAACGCCTGACCGTTTCCAAAATCATATCCAGTTACTTAAGTGACTGTTTTTGGCCTTCGCACTCGTGTTTGTTCGCTCGCCGTTTTGACATCTACACCGCGTGACTTGGGACCTGATACGTGCAATTCTCGGTACTGAGGTGGACTTTCCCGGTAACTACGCGTTACATTCGTCGCACGATTTATTTTGCCGTAGGATTCTACAACAGGCCGGGACAAGAATTGAACGCTGATAGACTTTTTCAGCAACCCGACTTTCATACGACCCTCCGTTTGCCATCTTAAGAAGATTGCCCGGTGAATGTGTGACCAGCCATAATCTGCGCAACCATCTAGCCATAGACCTTAAAAAAGCTTGTTGAATACTCATAAGCTCACAATTGATTCGTCCACAAACGTTTTAGTATGTCAAACACGAGAACTTGAAATGGCCATACGACAATAAAGAATGCTTGTTGGATATTGAATACAAAATATCAACCATACGTGGCACAGGTGCACCCATATCGAATCATAACAATAAGAAATCACTTCGAAAAAAAAATATAATATACCCCTGTTGATGCTCGCCAGGTGCCATTTTACATGGATTTCCACTGTCCTGCGGGCCAACACGGCAAGGCCGCACTTTCTATAGTCTTCGATAACACGTGCCTGGGGCAAATCTACGCTATCTAATGACAATGCCAGTACTGTACTTGGTGACAGCGAGTTCCACTCTGCGGTACCGTCTAGGAAAGAAGGAATAGTCTTCGACGGTTATGATCCAAGAACGTACATGTAGATTTGCCAGGCCCGCAGTCTGGATTCCAGGTATCTGGATCAAGATTCAAGATGGATTTATTGGTTCTTCGCAGTTAAAAACAACTGAATTGTAAACCAATTTACAAAACATTAGTATATGAAAACTACAGGTTTGCAATCAATATAGGCGTACGATTAACAAACCAATAAAAACACATGTTCCATACATTATAAATTTCCCGGACAACATTTGATGCAGAACACTGTACTACATTTAAAAAGACAACAGTCAGGGGTTCAGTCCATAGTTATTGAGGAGCTGGCGACATCAGCCGACAGTGATGCTGGCGGCCTCCCCGACGTGTACCGTGGTGGCTCCTCCGTTCCCGCGGCGCGGCGGCGGCCTGCCCTGCCGCAGTACCAGGCGCAGCATGAGCAGGGCCGACCAGAGCCAGTAGAACGTGCAGACGGGCTGCAGCAGGTGCACGAACACGTTCCAGTCAGCAGGCCCGAACGCCGCGCGCTGCACAGGCGTAGTGAAGCACGTCGTCTGCGGCGTCCTCTGCACCTGGGAGCCAAAGACAACAAAAAATACAAAGATAAACTAAAAGAGTAGAGAACCAATTAAGCTGCCAGACTGTACGAACAACTAGGTGCGCGAACACGTTCCAGTCTGCCGGCCCGAACGACGCGCGCTGCACAGGCGTAGTGAAACAGGTCGTCTGCGGCGTCGACTGCACCTGGGAGCCAAAGACAACAAGGCTGAGGCAATAAAAATCATTGCCAAGGCGACGACTGAATGATATATATCATTTCATGTGGTGGAGCTAGCAATCTACATTACAATTATAAGAAAAACAGATTTCCCTATCTTATAAAGACATGCACGTAGTGAAATTTACAGGATGGGTGGAGGAGGTGTGGGGCAATATACCAAATACACGTATAGGAGGAATCAGCCGGCCTAAATGTTCTTGGGGACTGCTCCTGAGGCTCAAAACACAGACACAAATCCATAGATACAAATTCACAAATGTACAAAAGCTGGTGTCTTCCGCCGAAGGGTGTACAGACATAGAAACATGTACATCTACAAACCTCGACGAAGCTTCCGTTGACCCAGACGCAGATGTTGAAGAGACAGAGCAGCCCGCAGTGTGACCCGACCCTCCCCTCCAGCCGCCCGTGCGTCGTTGCCGAAAACACGAACGTCGTCTGCAGCACGAGCTGGACCAGGTTCAGGACGGCGTCGGCCATCAGCAGGGCTCGCAGCTTGACGAAGTCTGCCGGCGTCGCGTCGTGAGGGCAGCCCTGCCTCGCCAGGTCGACCGACGCTTTGGCCCATCCCTCCAGACCCCGGACGTTCATCCACAGGGCTCCCGCCGCGCTGAGGAGCAACAGCAGCACGTCAACGGCTCCCCGAGACCGGAACTCCCACGGCCCGCTGGCCTGGACCCGCACGCACCCCGCCAGCGTGGACAGGATGAACAGGCCGAAGTACAGGACCTGGAGGGAGGGAGGAAGACAGATGGAGACATCGTCACGCTAGCTCGTATCATGAAGAAGAGAAGATGGACTTAATGTATACCCTGGATGCTAAACTAGTATCGGACTCTTAGCCGTTTTCCTTCGGCAGCCAAGAGCCCTTCGCCCGCCTATCTAAATTACTGCTACCGGGGAGTTGAGCCCGAGGGGTTTTTCCGGCCCTAGAACTACGTTGTACGTTGTCCGGCCAGCCGAACTCCCCCCGGGCTAGACTCCCCCGTAGGCGTAGCGGTAATTTACACCAGCGGGCGAAGGGCTCTTGCGGCCCGGAAAACGAGCTCTGGATTCCAGGGTACGCTAGCTCGTATCATGAAGAGAAGATGGACTTAATGTACAGATAGAGCGCTTCTCTCAGTATATTGGATGTGATGTGATGTGGAAAGGATGGACTGACCAAAGTACAGGAAGGACCAAACAGATGCCGACATCGTCACTGCAGCTGGTATCATAAAGAGAATACCTCGTAGACGAAATTAGTTATCGTACAAATCTCTCAGTTATACAGCCAACAAGGGTCAAATCCAAGAGAGCCAGCAGCTATCATGAACTTTTAACGATCTCGAGTAAAACACAGCACCTAGAGACCGTGTAATAATAGGCGACAAAGACGACAAATACCTTGCAGGAGTAATACAGGATGACTTTGTAGTAGTCCGGTTTGTTGGACACCGTGGTGGCCTGTTGGGTGATCGCCCACAATCCGACGGAGAGAACGGCCACCGTCACCAGGAAGAACCGCATGAGCGGGCCCGCCGCGTGGCGCGTATTCGGGACGGTCTGGCGCCCTGTCGCCGCCGCGCCGTCGCCCCCCTCCCCCTCACGCGCTTTGGCCCACATGTAGTACATCGTGGCGAGGGAGAGGAGGGCGAAAGTTCCGACCAGCGGCTGGCAGTAGAGCTGGAACTTCACGAACGTACAGTACTCCACCGTGAACAAGTTTATCGTCGTGTCCCCTCCTGTAGCGTAATTACAGGAGCTCGACTTATCGATGGTGGCGTCCCAGCATGTCAGGTCGACGTTGACGAATTTGTAGCTGACGTTGTTAACGACGACGTCGTTGACGTTGACGGTCTTACACAGGACCGACGGCCTGTCCACCATTTCGTAAAACCAGGAGGCCAGGTCGGCCAGGACGACGAGCGTGAACAGGAGAACCGTGTAGACTTTCTGCCTGGCGAAGCTCCTGGTGCCGAAGCACCACCCGAGCATGGCCGTCTGGGACACCACAAGGAGGAGTCTGCCCACGTGAAACGCCATACCGCTGGAGTATACGTAGCTGGGTTGGACGGGAAAGGCTCCCTCGTCGCGATGGGCGCAGGAACCGTAGAGTAGGAGGAACTCAATGTCCAGCGCGACGCAGCCGACCGCCAGCAGCGCGACCGGTACGAAAAGAAGCGACAGCTCCAAACCTTCCGCTGCTCCAACCCCGGCCTGGTCGGTGTCCTCTCGCACAAAGGGCTCCCGCCGAATGACATACGCGATGACCGCTACACATGGGATCCCCAGGTAGACAAGCACGATGAAAATAATCCTCAGACTCTCCCACTGTTTCTCACAGTCCATGGCGTCATTGATGGCCAGGGACATTAAAGGGGCTACAGAAACGACCAGGAAAACGGCGATGCTGATCACGATTTTCGCGCCGGGAGAACCGTCCAGACGTCTGCCGACCCATTTCGTCGCGAAGTTGGGAAAACATCTACTGCAGGAGCAGCAAGCGGGCAGTCGGTTCTTCCGAACCGCTACGAGGTCTTCTCTAGAGGCCATCGGTCGGACGCAACTGCCTTTTTCGAGTGTGGGTGGTGTACGTATACACGACCAGAGGTTCGAGTGGTACGCAGTAAAATATACACAAAACGCAGGACGTGTTCTGTTTACGTCTGATTGATTTCACTTCTTTGAAGTTGGCAGGACCCCAGGGGTGGTTTCCTCGAAACGTCACGCACGTAGAGATCGTTGCGCTCAAAGTTGTTTGCTCGTCCTTTGTTTTTGACATCCATACCTCGGATCGGGTGGCAGAAACACGTGCTTTGCGGTAATGAAGTAGTTTTTTTCTTTGTTTCCTTTTGGCAGTTGTTGAATGGGTCATGTTTTGGAAGCTTCCCATGTTTTGTGTACAACAGACCTTTTCTTTACCATTGTGAAGAGGGCCATGCTTTCTTTCTTAGCGCGGATTTGTATATAACATTGATGCTTTCTAGTAAATACCATAGATCTAAAAGCCTGTGTTTTGGCCTCGCCTCCATCCTCTTTCTCTCCCTCTCCATCCTTTCTTCTCTCTTTCTCTCTCACTCTCTCCATCCTCTTTCTCTTTCACTCTCTCCATCCTCTTTCTCTCTCACTCTTTCCCTCTTTTTCTCTCTCACGTGCACTGGTAAAAACTCTCATCGGGACAAATTGTTCATTGTTCAAATTTTATTTCTTCAACAGCGAATGCTAAAAAGAGAAAGATGGATAAATATCCAAGTTTTTTTCTTTAAAAAGTACGTAGAGACAGTTACATACACTCAGTCTTACGAAACAGGTTGACGCCACCATTAAACTCATGTACAAAGGCATATACATACAAGCATAAGTGAACACAACGTAAGCTTAAATTGATACAAAATTGTGTTGAGGAATTTATGATAAACTCATAAAAAATCAAATGAACACTTCATTGCCTGTACATCTTTTGTTGACTCTAGTAGACTTCTAGCCTCGAGAAAAGAGTCACTTTTAAAGGCCACGTTTACGACTAGTTTAAAATGGCATCTGTGGTGTTGTTCGTGAGAGATTTAGTTTAAAATGGCATCTGTGGTGTTGTTCTTGAGAGATTTAGTTTAAAATGGCATCTGTGGTGTTGTTCTTGAGAGATTTAGTTTAAAATGGCATCTGTGGTGTTGTTCTTGAGAGATTTAGTTTAAAATGGCATCTGTGGTGTTGTTCGTGAGAGATTTAGTTTAAAATGGCATCTGTGGTGTTGTTCGTGAGAGATTTAGTTTAAAATGGCATCTGTGGTGTTGTTCTTGAGAGATTTAGTTTAAAATGGCATCTGTGGTGTTGTTCTTGAGAGATTTAGTTTAAAATGGCATCTGTGGTGTTGTTCTTGAGAGATTTAGTTTAAAATGGCATCTGTGGTGTTGTTCTTGAGAGATTTAGTTTAAAATGGCATCTGTGGTGCTGTTCGTGAGAGGTTCGAGTCGACGTTGTGCCGGCTGGATTGTCCCTGGTTGAACCCGGCGGCCAGCCTCGTGGTGTGGGCTCAGCACGGCGCTCCTGAGCCGGAGGGTTAGAGTAGCGACCAGCGACAGCAGCCAGTACAGCATGCAGAGCGGGTAGAACAGGTGCACCAGCTTGTTCCAGTAGCCGACGATGGCCACGCGCTGCACGGGGCTCGTCCAGCAGGTGGTCGTGGGCTCGGACTGAACCTCGAAGAAACTGCCGTTGATCCAGAGGCAGAGGTTGAACAGCGCGAGCAAGTTGTAGCGGGTGTTCAGCGATCCGCCGTCCTGCGCTTTGCACAGGGCGGTGAGGAGGAACGTGGTTTGGAAGATGATGAGAAGGGTGCTCAGCGACGCGTCCAAGCCTAGAAGGGCGCGAAGATGGATGAAAGTGCTGGCTTCTGGAGGCACGGACAGGTGGCAGCCGGAGTTCCCCAGGTCCTCGCCTGTTACGCTTTCCGATCTCGCGAGCGCGAAGAACGACAGCAAGTGGAAGGCAGACGTGCCGATCGCGCCGAGGACCAGTAGCGCGATGTCGGCAGCGTGTGGCCTGTAGTCCAGCCGGCCGGCGGAGCTGCTCCTGGCCTCAGCCGAAAGCGCTGTCAGGGCGAAGATGAAAACGTACGCGACTTTGAACCCTTGGTAGGTAAGGACGGCTTGATAGTCCGCGTATTTTGGCGCGGCTGTAGTTGGAGGTGTCGTCGTCTGCCATCTCGGTGTCGTCGTCTGCCATCTCGGTGTCGTCGTCTGCCATCTCGGCGCTGTTGTAGTCTCGGCGGCCGGTGGCAGGGCTTGTTGCGTGACTATGAAGAGCGCCACCGAGAAGACACACATGACGACAAGAAGAGCAAACCAAACCACTGCTGCTTTCCCGTGAAAGTCCCGCGGCCGTCGTCGGTCTACGACTGGCTCGCTCTCCCTTGCGTGTTGGGTACCCCGCGCCTTGGACCACAGGGCGAGCATTGTGGCAGCCGCCACGAGGCTGAATTGGCCGATCAGCGGGTCGCAGTAGCGCTTCAGCGTGAGGAAGTCGCAGTGCGTCGCCCGGTCGCTCACCTCGCACGGCTGGGCTGTCGGGGCGACGGTTGTCGGGGTGACGTTTGCCGGGGTGACGGTTGTCGGGGTGACGGTTGTCGGGGCGACGGCGCTCCAACAGCTGGAGGTGTTGCAGATGACGTCGGTGCTCTCGGACACTTGGTACAGCCAGGACGCCGCGTCCGCCATGACGATTAGCGCCGTGAGGGAAGCGGCGCCGACGGTCTGCTTGGCCCACTTCCGCGTCGCGTGCAGCCACCCGACCGAGCAGACCTGCGCCACCACAAAAACCAGCCTCACCGCGTGAAACGCCGTGCTTGTGTGGAGACCTGGATACGAGTTCAATAGAATTGTATTGACAATGTAAATATAGTGCACAACGTAATATTATAGTAAATGCATGACGTCTAGGCCAGATTTTACTGCAACATCTGTTATGTAATAGTATGTTAACCTGACATGTAAATATAGTACACAATGTAATTGTAGTAAACGCACGACGACTAGGCCGGATCTCATAGCTTGTTAACGTTAGACCGCAACGTCTGTTATGTAATAGTATGTTTATCTGACACTGACACTGTGTAACTGACACTGTTAACTGTTACCTGTTCCGAATTGTTTATGTTCTTGTTATGAGGGCTAGCCCTTTATAATAGCCTCCGGCTAGTTGGGCAGTCTTGCTGTATACATATGTGTTATCAGCCTAATAAATCAAATCAAATCAACCTGAGGGCAGGATCCAGTCCTTCAGATACCCACAGGAGCCCGACACGTACATGGCGGAGATGTCCACGACGACGCAGGCGACACCCAGCAACACGAGCACGACGAACGTCGCGACGGACTTCACGCGGTCCTCTTTCACCTCTTCTTCTGTTTCTTCTACCATGGCATTATAGTAAGGGTCTCGCAGCGCGGCCCATAACAGCATAAGTGTACTGACCAGACCCGCTGCCACCACCGAGGTGTAAAGGATCTCCAGGGGGTTAGACCGCGTGCACTCCAAATTAAGGAAGACGGTGGCCGCCCCGAAACCCACCAGGAAGAACGTCAGCAGGGCGACAAGCGCGCCCGCCGTCTTGGTGCTGACGTCGTTGCCGAGCCGCGTCCGCAGCCATTTGGTCCACCAGAATGGTCCCTGGCACCAGCGGGCGAACACACCGCCGCATGTACACGGACACGTACACGACCCGCAGCGACCGTACCTCCCACTGCGGCCGAGAGGCACTACGGGGGTTGTGGTGTCGGATCCTTCCATCCGCTCTGGCGTGCGCTTGTACCAAATCCAAAGCAACCTACCTCCTGTTTTTCGTGTCCAGCTCAAATTCCTTGCTGTCTCTCAGTACGGCACAGCAAGGTAGACCCAAAATGAAAACTTCTGAAAACTATTACTTTGAATTTTGGATGTCAGCCTATGAGGCTAGCCTGGCGGTTCGCTCGCATCGACAGCAAACCGTGACTAGACAGAGGTCATGTGTATAGTTAAAAACTACGCAATGACTCGGCAGTCCACCAACTAACAATCATGACCTTCTGTGAATAGGATGTCAACCTGTTGCCTAGCAACGTCCGTAAGGTACAGGCGACCTCTTCTGACCCCCGGGCTATACCGTTTCCCGCGCACCGACCAATGTTTAAAGTTGTCAGGTGATTCATTGTTTAATATAAACGCTTGGGTTACCGGTGATGACAGATCGTATATCCGTTTATTGTGAACAAAAGGCCTTGCAAGGGTTCGAGTCCTGACATGCCACCGATCTTGTGCCCTTGGGAAAGGCACTTTACACGACTTTCCTCACTTCGCTCATGTGAAAAAATAAATGAGTATTTTATTGTTCCCTGTGTTGGTGGCGGCATTAATATAAGTTAAAAAAACTTGAGTGCGCCGTCACCACGTCTTGTGATTACATGTTGGAAATAATAATAAAATAATAATAAAAAAAATGCATTCAGGTACAGACTAGAGAGACGGCCTATCGTATTATCCAGAACCGTAACTCTCTAGTCTGTGCCTGAATGGGTAAGGTTCTAGATAGTCTTCGCATCATGATCCAAGAACGTAGATTTGCCCCAGGCACGATTAACAGACATTAGAATGCGGCCTTGCCGTGTTGGCCCGCTGAACACTGGTAATCCATGTAAAATGGCACCTGGCGAGCACCAGGACAGGGTATGCATATGTTGGAGTTTTTGTTCGAAGTGAACTTATAATTCAATATGAGTACATCTGTGTCATACATGGTTGATGTATTGTATGAAATATCCGTATTCTTAATTTCGTATGGCCATTTCAAGTTTTCGCGTGTTCAAGTGTTTGATATATTAAAACGTTTGTGGACGATTCCATTCTGAGCTTATGAGTATTTAACAAGCCTTTTTTAAGGTCTATGGCTAGATGGTTGCGTAGATTATGACTGGTCTTGTACGCCAAAGAGTAGTTACTCATGATTTTCCCAAAATCATATCCAGTTGCTTAACTGCTTTTTGACGTATCTTATTACCTGTACCTGGACGTCTATCCTTCATCGACGTTTAAATAAGGGCCTTGTGTTGCCGAAAAAGGCTATTAACGTTCAATCCTTGTCACGGCCTGTCGTAACGGTGGTTGTAAAATCCTACCGCAACAAGTGCGACGAATGCGATCGCGTAGTTACCGGGAATGTCAACCTCAGTACCTAGAAGTGCGGGTGTCAGTTCCCAAGTCCCGGGGCCGCGGTGTGGATGTCATAACACTGGCCTAAACACCGGGGTATCGTTCCATGTCACACAGCATACAAAAGCACAGTTATATCCCAGTTCCTTTCACTGGGAGAGAGCTCACAACAAGGAGTCTCACATTCATCGTGCGATCTTCGTAAGATCAAGATCACAAACTGAGGGAATTCTTGGGACAGTCGCACGTATGTCGTACAAAATTCAGCTGCCTTGTTACCGAAAAGGCTGCATTGGACCCTTGTCGTGGTTGTTTGGTCTCTGCATGGGAATCTCACGACATCAAAATCCTACGACAACCTTGGATGTTACCGGGAAAGCCCTGACCTGTACCGAGAAGTGCAGGTGTCAGTTCACAAGTCACGCGGCCGCGGTGTGGATGTCACACGGGCCTATACACCAAGGTATCGTATCATGTCACACAACAATCACCACAGAGGCGCACAGTTTAATATATCCCCGTTCCTTTCATTGCAGCGAGCTCTCAACAAGGAAGTCATGACCTCTTTGTTTACGTACACACGGATAACCGAGACCTTAGTAGTGGGGATGAAAATAGTACTACTAGCCATCTGTAGTCGTAAGGGTAGTACACAATGTAGTGCTACGTAGTAATCTCAAAGCAGATCCCTTTCAGTGGCAAGACAATATCCATTAGCCATAGGAGTTTGCACGGCCATCGATGGCTAATGGACACTCCTCTGGCCAATGGATATACTGCCTTGCCACCGTATGGTCTGCTTAGAGATTACTGTGTAGTAGTGATGTTGGGAAAGGTGTCAGCCTACGATAGGACCACATTGATTATTTCTTGTCATGTATTGTGTAGCTAGACGTTTTGACTATCGGTTACTCATTTCCAGGTATCTCAAAATCCACCTCCCCTTGCGAAAACACTGCCACGTTTACTTTTTGTCAATGCCATATGGCATTATGTTACGGCTCACTTTCCACTCTGTTTCCTGACACCTGTGCGGAACAATAGGCTGAACTCTGGACGACCTTGTTTTGTTTCGCATAGCCGGTAAACTGCTATTAGGCGTAAAACAACAGTTTTGTACATGTAAGTACATGCTGCGTAAGACCGGACTGTAAGGTCTGAACCACTCACACTGGGAAGGACCCCTGCTCTTTTTGATATGTGCGGTGGGTTCTTTAACGTGTGTGGGGTATGGCTCTCCCCAAACACGGGACCTCCATTTAACGTCCTATCCGAGGGACGTCCCTAACCGAAGCTAGGTACTCATTTTACATTTACTCCTGCCTTTGCCGAGGGCACAGGATCGATGGCATGGGTAGGATTCGATCCCGGGACCTCTTGGTTCCGAGCCGAACACGCCAAAATCATGCCCCAACCTTTAGGAAATCACATTCGTACGTACTAAACAGCCTGGTTATCAAACCTATTACAGCTCCCGACTGTATGACGATTGGTATGTGGGTAATTCATTCATTTTCTTGCAATAAAATGTTCACAAAATAGTAATTGATAAGAAAGAAATCATGGAGAGAGCCAATGGACCACTCTTCAATGATGTACTGTGTTGGCATAATGACAACAGACTGAAGAGTTTTTAATGGTTTATTATCACTGATTAAAGTCAGTGTTGGAACGCTGTCGTAAGACGCGTGTCAGCCTCGGGCCGCTTGTGGCGCTTGGAAGGTCCCGGCTCTGACGTCACTCTGCGCTGCAGGAGAAAGATGCCGCGCCCTTCTCCCTGCAGTACATGCCCACCGGACAAGAGGCGCTGCTGCACGAGTAGGCGCTCCTTCGGACGATGGGGTTCGGATCTAGATGTAGATGGTCATGCAATATTTTGTCACGTTTTGTAAAGATTATTTTATGAAATGATGTTGGCAAGAAAAGAAAATCAAAACGCAGCACATGTTTTCCAAGCAGAGGCATATTTGGGGGTCTGCATGGGGGTCCCGAGAACGCTGTACGCTAGATCTCTCGATTACGCTTTACGAAAATTCCAAGTGGCTACAACGCATTACGTAGAATTGAAATAAAACGGCGAATTACAAGTACGCTCTACACAAAATGTGCCAATTACTCTCTACGTTGAATTAGAGCGGTCCGTCTACGCTCTACGTAGAATTAAAACCGCCGATTACGCTCTACGGAAAAGGGCATGCGGGCCCTCATATTTGGGAGGCAGTACGAAGTGACTGAGGTATTTTTAATTTGCCTCCCTCCACAATGCATGAAATCGACCACTCCCCCCACCCCGACCGAAGCCTCAATGCTTAGAGAATATACGACAGCCATATTGTAGCTGAAGTACTTACCGTAACATTCGAAGGAGGAAATGTCATCCCGGCAGGACCAGCCGAACGGACACTGGACCTCAGGATGATCGCACCAGTCCGTGTCTTAAAACATAAACATAAAATGCAGGAAAAATTATCGGCCTGACTGCATCACGCTTCTAGCAGCCCTTCCAATGGTCAGGAACCTCGAATTTTAATGTCTAACAGCTCCAATCAATTGGAAACATGTTAATCCTGTTGATTATGCAATATATATGTGCTAGCATGGACCAACCATTGTCAGATAGAAAATTGTACTATCGTGTTGGAGGCTGTGATGAGTGGTTTCCATAGTGACAGAGAATGCTGAGTTTCTATTGGGGTAATATTCTTGACGATAAAGCCACAAGCTCTCGGGGAGAAGGCCCAATCAGCGAGAGATTGTGCTGCACAGAGTAGCAAAGTTAGCAGGCTTGGATTTCTAGAGCTCTGCTTATCAGAGACTGGCGGCAATGCCATCGTGCTAACTTCTTACTGAAAAAAAAAGCACGATACGAACCGAACTCGCAGTGGTCTCCATGGAACCCGGTTGGGCAGCTGCAGCTGTAGGAGTTGATGCCGTCCTGGCAGGTTCCGTTATTTTGGCACGGATTGGAGGCGCACTCGTCGATGTCTGTTTAAATGGTAAATTCATACGTGTCAGTTCGGTCTGAAAACATTGATTCTTTGGGAGTTGGGGAGGGGGTGTCAACACAGAGGCCATCCTATGAGTAGTTACAGTCCCCCCAAGTTTTAAGTCCTTTGGAAGATCGCTTTTCTCATTGACTGTGCGGACCATGTGTGTGTTTGTGTGTGTGTGTGTGTGTGTGTGTGTGTGTGTGTGTGTGTATGTGTGTGTAAGGCTGTGGGTACTCACTTATTTCACAGAACTCGCCCTCGAACCCATCCGGACACCGGCAGAAGGTGGCAGACCCGTTGAAGCAGGAGATGCAGTTTCCGCCGTTCTGACACACGTTCGGGTCAAACGATACCTGAGCTAGAATTGATTGAGATGTACCACATTATTATGTGGAAGGATTGACACAACTAATTTTCAAGATGTCAACTTGAGACCGGGCTGTAAAGTTTGAACTACTATACAGTTTTTAATATGAAACGCGTACTTGAGGTACGTGTGTCTTTCCTCACATGAGTCTTAGAATTTTTAAATGTTAAAGATATTGTACAGTACTGTTTTTTTCAGACAATGAAGACCCAAAGCATTGATCTAGTTATTAAGTAAAAAGTATAAGAACCTGGTGTTTTTTAGAATAAAAAAAACATGTCCTTACTTTTTGCTAGCTCAAAGAAATTTGACTCACCGTCCTGACAGACATAGTTCTGCTGCTCCGTGCACGGTGCCGTCTTGGCCAGATAGTTGTCGGAGCTGTCCAGGAGAACACACAGGTCACACGGTTCGGCAGGTTCACTGGAAGACCACTGAAGTTGCCCTGAAATGGCACAATCACATGTTTAGAGCAAAAGCAACTCCTACTACAGGGTCCTGTTTCTTGTCATCACTATCCCTACCGTGAGGCTGACAAAATCCCATGGATACTGCATAGACTGTACATTTGTCTCAATGTTAGCATATACTTTACCAGGGCAATCCACATCTACTCAGCAAATATACATTGAATTTCTCCCTTCCTTTCCTCAGATGGCGTTTGATTGCTAGCACTAGGTTTACAAGTGCACAAGTCATTTAACCGATGTTTCTAAGTTAACTTATGTTTCTAAGCTGTCCATTTTGTGACAAGGCGACACTATACCTGAAATCGGAGATCCGTCACTGTTGAGAATTTCTGCCGGTGCGGTTTTCATGGCGAGCCAGTGGGAAACGCTGGAAGAGGCCGCGATGCTTTCAGCGAGAAAACCTTGCTGTTCCTGGTCTCTCACGTCCACCAAGCGGCCGCCATTGGCGCTGCAGGCGAGTGCCGACTCTGGTTGGGACAGAGCGGTGGACGAAAACTGGTAGCATTGTCCGCCAAAAGACACTGGAAAGCAACGAAATAGCAACATTTGAGTATTTTACGAAGCCCAACCAACAGCTATAAAGAATAATGTTTTACAATTTTAACAATTCTATCATAATTCATAAATTGAAAAAGGGTCCCGCAGGGTAGTTAACGGACTGTTTTCTTCACTTTCGGGCTGGGTTATCACCCGGAACATCCCAGAACCATACAGGCTACCGATAATGCGTTTTATGCAAACGAAGTCGTATAGCACTAATCAGATCAATGATCATGGTTTGCTTACCCGATAGACATTGTAAGTTGGTGCAGTTTTGTGTGGCACATTCACTAACCTTGATCGCAGTTGTTCCCTGTCCAGCCGTTCTCACAGCTACAGGTGTAACTCGCCACGCCGTCAGTACAGGTTCCGTGTACACATGGGGAGGACAAGCAGTAATCGGTGTCAGCTGACACAAAGATTAGAAATTTTATTTGAAAGAAACAAACAGAGACTGATTACATCATAATCATACATGTATGCATGAGTCTCCTCTTTAGGCGATGGAAGATCCTCCTCCAGTACTGTGTATCAGTCATTGCAGACAAAAGTTATGAACGGTTACGTCTACGGAAATACAGATATACATGTATGTATACAGATGTATCATTCAGCTAGAGGTTTTCTATTTCCGCAATTTTAGAAACTACATTCAGATATGTCGGAAGCGTATGCGTACGTCATTTGCAAGGCTGTTTGATACTTTACAAATGGAATAAGTAGGATAGAGGAAGGTGACAGAATATCTCTGGTGCCCCATCGGTCAACCATACAGATGAGGATGCCTTGATCTATCAGTATTAATGCTTTGTATACCCAAAACGCAGGCCACTCTCTAAGCTGATGAGGAGACCTATTCTCAAGTACATATGTACAAGTAAGAAGTATATATTATCTAATATATTCATACCCGGAAATAATTTCCTCAGGTTGGTGGAACATAGGATATTGGGATTTTCGTATACACAACCAGGTATCCCTACCTAACTTACGTTTCAATGTCTATCAAACCTCTTCCTCAGAGGTTCTGACTGGAGTTCTGCTTCTCGTCGCTGTGTAGCCGATGTAGGTGGCGCTTTTGCGGCGAGGACGCAATCCCAGACGTGGCATCGAAACGTAAGCAATGTGAGAAGAATGTCTGGTTGTGTATAAGAAAAATCCCAATATGCTAACATATTTATACTTTGTATATATGGCTTTTTATCCCCCTGATCATTATGTATACGAAGTGAAGTACTCACCTCGGGCGCAGAAGGCGAAGCGGTTATAGTAGTTATTACCGATCGTGCACCAGGTGCCACTCTCCACACCACAGGCAGAGCCAGAGAGCCAGTTGGCCACGAAGATGTACACTCCGTCAAACGCAGGACAATACCGGGGATCGGTACCGCACAGAACGTGGGATACGAGGTTCATTGAAAAGGCGCATTCAGTAAGCCCGGTCTGGTCACAGTAGGCTGACGAATACCGGCAGTTCCCGTCCCCGGGACACGGTGTGACGTAACCAGCTGCGTCCCAGGCTGCCTTGATGTTTGCGCTGCTCATCTGCCCAGTGGCGGGAACTTTGAAGTAGTCGTAGCCTGAATATGTCGCCAAATACGTTTCGGCTGGAAAAAAAAAGGTACGATAAGTGAAACGACACACACACACACACACACACACACACACACACACACACACACACACACACAAACACACAAAAATATGCACAAACACTTGCACACACAAACACACACCTAATACATGTTTAAAATAAACTCGATGGAGGTGGGAAATATCAAGTAATGGGTAAATGATTGCCTGGATACATGATGATAACAAAGAAGCAAAACATACTTTAACATGTACAGCCTGGTGGGTACTCATTCTCTTTTGGAGAGGACGTCCCTAACCGAACCTTGGTACTCCACCTAGCCGGAGTCCAGTGATAAAACAGGTGCCTTTCCCCAGGGCACACCACTGGGGTCTGCTTGGAGTTCGAACCCTCAACCTTTACATTTTACGTCAACAACCGGGCTGTATCTGTGTAGCCGGCGTAACACACCAGCTTCGCAGGCAAGCGGCGCAGCGGCAGCTGGCTATATCACACTGATCGACTTGTTACACCTAACCCTTGAACTACGCCCTCAGAAGACAAACAAACAAAGACCATCTCACTTTTGGTCATCAACCATTATCAAGAAAACAATCCACACTCATGCCACACCCACCTTGTGCTGACGCCGGCCAGACGACCACAGCCACGAACACGAGAAGAAAGGTCCGCATCTTTAACGTCTGTTGAGTCCGGACGCAGAGATGTATGTCCGAGATGTATGCCAGGACTTGCTAGATGTGCAGCAATTAATATATCGTGACCATAGGAAACACACAGTTGTTCATTCGGCCAAACAACCACTCAAGAATTATTAAAGTGCTAAGTTGAAATTTATGCATGACATGTTGAGGAAGTCCTCAACGAACCAGCCACCATAAATGTCAGGATTTTGGCACGGTATGCCTCTCAAGTTCCTCACATTGCGTACTTGTAATATCTGTATAATATGACCCAAAGACCTCAGACCTTCCAAATGATTATCTCAATTCGCATTGAAATTTGCTCAATAATGAATGAATGTTACCACATATGGGATACTGTGTACCCTTCCGTCTGTCAATGTTCATATATTCATTAACATCTAACATCTGAAGGACTCAATTGCAACCTAGTATGTGAACATATTAGAGAACCTCACCTGTGTCCTCTTCAACACTCAGACAATAACACACTCATGATGCTGTATTTTTATTTTATTCCGACAGTATTCAAGCAAACCGTTTCCTATAATTTGCCTGTTTATGAAGTATAACAGGCTATAAAGTAATAGTTATAACTCAGTCTGGTTCTTGAGCCGGCAGCGTGTGGGGCTTACACAGCTGAGACGGCAATCGTTGAGGGGAGGGTTCTGCCATAATGTTAATATTGTATCACTTAAATGCTTAAAAACCTGTCAAGTTGTGGACGCTAATGCTTTGAGGACATTATTAGACTAAGTATATTTTATGATTTAATGAATCTATCATTGAGATGTAAATGATATGGAGAAGGAGGTGTTACTTCAGGTGAACAACTTGGATGCTGGTTTGCGCCAGGTACAGTTCTGATTAGGCCACACCGACTTAATTTTATTGCGCACATTGATTTTTGCCTGTTCTAAAAAAAAAAAAGAAAAAAAGATCACGTCCTCCGAGGCCCTGGCCTGGCTCTAGGTCTGGGTAGTCTTTATTTCGGCCAATTTCAACTAGCGGACTAGCCCCCTGATGTAGTGATTGTACAACTGTGTGGCCCAAGGGCTATAGAAATGGAGATGGGCACCACCCCTATGCTCTTCAATGGGACCTTTTAATGAAAAAACAACAACGCAGTACCAAAAGGGGCCTACATTGGGGGGGGGGGTCCCGACAACGCTCTGCGCTGAATTCGGAAACCTCTCAATTACGCTTTACGATAAATTCCAAGTGGCTACAACGCATTACGTAGAATATTAAAGCTCGAATTACGCTCTAGGCAAAATGCGCCAATTGCGCACCACTTTGAATTAGAGCTGCCCGGCTACGCTCTACGTGGAATTAAAACGGCCTTGTATACGTCGCTAAATACTGCCGCAAATTCACAACACCAGCTTTATATTCCTCTGGTTTAGTACCATTTTTATTTTTGGCTGGAATTTTTTTAAATTCGCCCGCGCGCACTAGTTTGGGGGTCTTCAGAAGAGGTCATCCATAAAATTAAGGCAGTGTGGCCTTACAGTATTTGTTGGGCCAGGACTACCCGTGTATTAAGACATACAGCCGGTGCTACCGAGCTACCTGAGGGCTATTATAAAGGGTTATGCACAAAGTGGAATAACCTGGGTGCCAGTAAAAGGGTGGTGAGTGAGTGAGTGAGTGAGCGAGCGAGCGATTTAGTGAATGATTGGGTGGGTGGGTTATTGGGTTGAGTGGGAGATTGAGCGAGTGGGAGGGAGAATCAGTGAGTGAGTGAATGAATGAGTGGGTGAATGCGTGGGTGAGTGAGTGAATGCGTGGGTGAGTGAGTGGGATGGAGGGTGAGTGAGTAAGTGGTTGAATGAGTGAGTGAGTGAGTGAGTGAGTGAGTGAGTGGGTGGTTGAATGAGTGAGTGAGTGAGTGAGTGAGTGGCTGAGTGAATGGGAGATTGGGCGAATGGGAGGGAGAATGGGTGAATGGGAGATTGAGCGAGTGGGAGGGAGAATGAGTGAGTGAATGAGTGAGTAAGTGAGAGGGTGAATGATGGAGGATGCCATTACCTTTCCTAGGCACGTCCATAACCAAAGCTAGGTACTACTCATTTCCAACTACGTGAAGTGGGGAAAGTGCCTTTCCCAAAGACACAAGATCGGTCACATGGTAGGATTCGAAACTGGGACCTCTTGGTCCTGAGCCGAACATGCTACCTTTTACGCCCTATTAGTCCACAAGTCTGTAAATCTATAGTCACACAAGTCATGCAGCCTAGGGTCTGTAATGGCCGCCTTTTACTGCTTTAATACAAAATTTATAATACCCTGATTTTGTGTTTCATACAGAGTAAGTTGCTCTAATGGAACTCCTGGGATCCAAGTCCAATATGGCTATCCAGTCTGAATTAATGTAAGGTTGAATGAAATAAAATGGTCTTCCCTGACTAAGTGTCCCTTCCCTTGCACCATTTCTGTTCCACTGTCACACTCACTCACTCACTCACTCACTCACTCACTCACTCACTCACTCACACTCACTCACTCACTCACTCACTCACTCTCACACTCACCCACTCTCACATTCACTCACTCTCACTCACTCTCACACCCACTCACTCACTCCCTCACTCTCTCACTCACTCACTCACTCACTCACTCACTCTCACTCACTCACTCACTCACGCACTTCCCTACCCTGATATATAACCTATAGTAAACATTTGCCAACCAAATATAACAAAGACAAGGTTGTTTAAACTTGGGAAGACTTTTTTTTTCTTTATTGGGAGATGACGAAGGCTGATCATAATACTGTACATTCATATATTCTGTATATGGCGTACACAGCCGTAGGATACTTAGTGAAATTTCTATGTACTGTAACACATGTACATTTCTATGGAGTGTAATTATATTACATAACTGTGTATTGTAATATATGTAATGTTACATTTCTACATGTATGTAACGGTAACATATATACATTTCTATGTACAGTGTAACATATATACATTTCTGTGTACTGTAACATATTGTACATTTCTATGTACTGTAAAATATGTACATTTCTACATGTATGTGCGGTATTACATATACATTTCTACGTACTGTAACATATTATATTTCTTCATGTATGTACGGTAACATATGCTGTGTACTGTAACATAGTACATTTCTGTGTACAGTAACATTTACATTTCTATGTACATTACAGTGAGACTTGGTGCTTTAATTATCTCATACATGTTGTTTTCCATCATTGATTGTAATTTGGATTCCACATTGACTGTATTGTCCTTGTATATACAAAAGTTGCATACTAGTGCAAAGAAAGCATTACATTGTTCTTAGTCTGTGCAAACAAAGTATATTCACACACAAAAAATTGTGGATGTAGTAATTGTATACACTCAGGTACATGTGCCATTCAGATCTAAACATTCAAACTAGATGTACTATCAAATTACTGGTTCAACATCTTGGTAAACAGAATTTAACTGTTGCAGTAAACTTTTAAATTTTGAGTCTTTGCATCACCTTAAATCTAAAAGAATTACATGGGGCAGTGAGTACATGTGCCATCATCTGAGTAAGAGTAATGAGTGAGTGAGTGTGGTAATTGTTTTAATTTGACCATTTGAACATGTGTAAAGAAATTTTAACCAGGGTCCCCCCTCCCCCAAAAAAGACATCAAAAAAGGAAAAAATTTGGGATGCAGAAGAGATCCAGGGGGTTGTTTGGGGTGTTAAGAGTTGGTTGACAAACATTATTCAAAGAAAAAACCAAAGAAAACAAGAGAAGAAAAAAGTGAAAGAAAAGATGCCAGTCCAGGAACACCATGCTGTCAGATGTTAGTGACGTAGGAGACCCCAGCCCAAAAGCAGCCGGACTGCGGCCCTGTGCAATGCAGTCCGACTGCTGAGGCTCCTGACATGGGTCTGGACTGGAAGGGAAGGAGGAAAGAGAGGAAAAAAGAGTTTGAGACAAAACTGAGACAAATCTAAAACCAATTTGAAACTGCTGAGACAAATAAGAGGTTAGGACAAACATGATTAAAAATTATTGGTCAGAAATGAGAAGAAATAAAATTGAAAAGCAAAGTTGCCAGTCCATGAACACCATGCTGTCAGATGTTAGTGACGTAGGAAACCCCAGCCCAAAAGCAGCCGGACTGCGGCCCTGTGCAATGCAGTCCGACTGCTGGGGCCTCCTGTGGCATGGGTCCTGGACTGGAAGGGAAGGAGGAAAGAGAAGAAAAAGAAAGTTT